TTTGGTGTAAAGTATGAGAATAGAAATAATATTCACCAAAATGATAATTTTAGGAATAATTATTGGATTTTGTACTGCTAGAAATAGACAATAAATTGATTTTGAAATCTTTAAAAACTAGGGAAAAATACCAAAACTCTTGGGCATGCTTATATATGCATGCACATGCTATTTTGAAAGTATTTTGTATGTAAAAATACATAGGGAAAAATTGGGTATCAACAATAGATAATGTAAAAAGGAAGCTCAGAGACTTCCTGGGGCGCACTAGGCGCTCGGAGGAGCTGAAGCATCTAGGACAGCTATAGGGTCATCTGTTGGTACTGAAGCTGCAATTGGTGGAACCTCGGACTGGGTGGTGGCCTCCACTGCTGGAGCAGGAGGCTTCAGCTGCTGTGAGGATGGAGCAGGAAGCTCTACCTGCTGTGAGGCTGGAGTAGGAAGCTCTACCTGCTGTAAGGCTGGGTCTGGGACCTGGGAGCTGCTAGCCTCGCCTAGTGAAGGCTGAGTAGTTGATAGAAGTGCCTTGGCGACCATATCTGCTAAAGAATGTGCAATTGCTGTCTCCACAGCTGCTTCCTCTTCATTATGTGCAACTGTAGGAATAGCAACTTGCTTACCCCTTGTCCCGATGACCCTCAGTGTCCTCTACCGATGCATCCTCATATGTTTCCACATCTTCTAAATCCCCCTCATCAGACTCCTCTGTATCTACGGATCCCTCCTCTAAAGGAACGTCAATGTGTACATGAGGAGCTGGAGCCTTTAACGTCTCAACACTCTATGCCTCTGGAGCTGTCATCAAGTTTGTGAAATCAAAGTCCATTCCTGGAATGGAAGTTCCAGCACCCTGTGCACCTTCCTTCGGAGGAAGGGGGTCAAGTCAAACTCCAAATTCGGCATCTTCTGTAGCTCTGCTTTCGAGTCATCAACATCCTTCCTGAGCCAAGCCATACCTCCAACCTCACCCCGCTCGACCTTCTCAAGACCACTTCAAAGTGCTTTAGGCGATCCTCATAAGTTTTATGCTACCGTTGAAGAACACTCACTAAGGATTGGACAGGATCAATGCTTGTCGGATGAGGTTTGGGATTTCTTTTATCAGCCGGCCTACCTTAACATTGGTGTGCTGAGCTAGTAGACCCATCTTGGAAAGAGCTGGTAAGGGGACCTGTGGCTGTGCAGTGGTATGCTGTGGAGTAGATGTGGAGGTAGCTGGGGCCTGAGAGGTGTCAGTCAGTGTTGGGACCTCTGGTACTGCTGAGTCTGCTGGAGAACGAATTGAAGTCTCTGGTTGATTTGCAGTTTCCTTGTCTACTACATCACTAATCTGAGTGATGTCAATATCTTTGAGAGCTTTCTCAAGTTTATCATGCTTTGGCATAGGAGGCACACCCACAGCTTTGCAGAGAGCAGTGATCAAACATGGGAAGGGAAGTGATGTTTGTTTCTGGTTTGCTCATGATGCACCGGAGTGCCTTCTCAATGTTGATGTCAGTTTCATTCCTAGACGGCATCAGACGGGATGTGACAAAAGTGAGCCAATATCGACCCTCCTGTGTGAGATCCTGCTTGTAAATCTTGTGTTTACGGTCAATCCAGGCTGGTGTCCCCTTTGCTTTAACAGAGAAAATCACCGCCCGCTTGTGGAAAGAAACGGGTTTCTACTCTGAGCCAACAAGCACAACAATCCAAACGTCAATGGGCTCAGGGAATTCGCATTACTTCTGAGCACTCCTCCCAGTCTTAAGAGGAGGAGGCACAGAGTGACCTTAGGCCATCTGTTGACCTACAGGATGAGGCACGACGAAAGATGAGGGAGGATCTTAATCTCAGGTTTGGAGTCACAGGCTCCATGAATCAGTATAAAGAAGGGCTAGCAAAGAGAAAGATTCTCGAGGAGAAGCAGTTGAGTCTAAACGGGCTGAAGGAGCACTACCTTCATGTGATCGAGAACATCAAGCAGAGGAAATGGGAATTCTTCACTGAGGTCCCCGATGAATATAATGAGACACTTGTGAGGTCCCCAAAATTTGATACGCTCAAATTATACTTTAATTAAATAGTGTAAGGTGGTCGGTGATCGCGTTGGAAGAGACATCTTTGGTGCCATTCCTGTTGATGAAACATTGTGTGAGTGGGTGAAATAGCATAGGAATCACATTGAGACAAAGTAAAGAAGTAAGTAGATTATGCGATGGGTTATGCGATCGCATAACTACTATGCTGTCCGCAAACCCATCGCAGGTGTGCAAAACATAGAAGGCAAAAATGATGATGTGATCGCGAAAGCGTCCGCATATTTAGTTATGCGACCGCAAAGTGGTTGTATTTCTTCTACACCAGAGGGGATAATGGTTTGTCTCTGTTTGCGCCACGTATGCGGACCGCATAAATGGTTTGCGATCGCAAACACCATCACATAAACTTTTTGCAGTAGACCACCTAGGGGTCTTTAAGACAACTTTGTGGACCGCAAACCGATTATGCAGCCCGCAAAGATTGTCTTCTTCATTTAAACTGTGCCCTTTTTTTTCTTTTCACTATGCACACCCCACTCATATGTTCTTCACACCATATGCACATCACACTCACATGCTTTCATAATACTACCTCCTTAGATTCCTCGTTGTTGTTATAGGCCACTTAGTCGATTTAAGATAAGAGGGGTACTCAGACTTCCCCCATTTCGTTTCATCAACGTAACACACACAGTCACTTAACCCAAATCCTCGCCACGAGGTAAATCGTAATCATAGGGAATTAGGGGACCAGGGAAACGACCATGGAGCTCAAAATTTTGGAAGTAGCATGGATCACAATTAAGAGAGGGAGAAGAAAATCATACCAGAAGTTGAGCAAGATTATGCAAGCCCGATATGCTTCGTGTGAGTGGGATTCCTTGCTTTGTGAGTCATTTTTCTTTTTGATCTTTTCTCTTTTCTTTCCTTGCTTGTAATTTTTTTTGTTCTTTTGATTTTGTTTAAGTGTTAGTGTGTGATAAGAGTGAGGACGAAAATGCGGAAGGTTAGGGTTTTTGTACCTGTCGAGTTTGCGATGCGTAAGTCCATCGCATAACACATTATGCGATCGCATATGTGTTGTGCAATGGACTATTCACTGGGAAACCTAAACTAACTTTGCCATGCATTTGCGATCGCAAAGTTGTTATGCGAGTAGCATAAGTGAAAAGCTTACCGCATTTTTGAACACCAAGTTGACCAATTTTTTGCCTCTGTCTGCGATGACTATGCGGTTCGCATAGTCATTATGCGACCGCAAAGTTGTCGCCAACTCTTGACCTCTTTTTCCTTCAGTTTCCTCAGCAGTACGACCTTGTTCATGATATTTTGGGACTACCTTCACTCTAACACACATGTCAACCTGCTCAATCTAAACTACGTAAATGACAAACAACAAAAGAGTGTTACCACACATGGGTTGCCTCCCAAGAAGCTCTAAATTTAACATCGCGGCACGACGCAGTTGACCCCTTTTGGGCTATTCATTAGTGGGGACTACAGTTGGACTATCCTTTAGATCGAATTGTTCTATCAAGTGCCTTTATCCATCTTCGAGGCCATCTCGGGAAAACACCCGAAGAAATGAACAACCACGGAAAGGCCAGGTGAAGTTGAACCTGGGACCAACCCCAAAATAATAAAGATGCTTGAGGAACTGACAAAGCGGATGGAATCGGGGGAAAGAAGATCGAAGCTAACGACAAAAAAGTGGAGACCTATAACTCCAGAGTTGATCAAATCCCAAGAGCGCCTCCGATATTTAAAGGCCTGGATTCCAAGAAATTTGTTCAAAAACCTTTCCCTCCGATCGCAGCTCTGAAACCGATCCCAAAGAAGTTCTGTATGCCCGATATTCCAAAGTACAATGGGACCACGAATCCAAATGAACATGTGACCTCCTACACGTGTACCATCAAGGGAAATGCCTTAGAGGACGACGAAATCGAGTCGTTTCTACTGAAAAAATTCGGAGAAACCTAGTCTAAGGGAGCAATGATATGGTATCACAACCTACTCCCTGATTTCATTGATTCATTTGCTATGCTTACGGATGCCTTCGTAAAAGCTCATGCAAGGGCCATCAAGGTAGAGACTAAAAAATTAGACCTTTTAAATGTGAAACAAAGGGATAACGAAATGCTTAGGGAATTCGTGTTGAGGTTTCAGATGGATCGAATGGACCTGCCGTCAGTTGCGGACGATTGGGCTGTTCTGGTATTCACTCAAGGGATCAGACCCAAAGATCTTAAGCTTCATAGCAGCTAAAACAAAATTTGATAGAGTACCCGACGGTAACTTGGGCCAACGTCCATAACAGGTACCAATCAAAAACAGAGTCGAGGATGATCAACTCGGGGCACCCTCTGGATCCGCATATCCCATCAGAACTAATGACAGGTCTAAAAGAGTCGTCGATCATGAAACAAGACCAAGTAAAGATCGGTATCAACTGTATAGGAGGGATCGAAGGAGCGACGGATACGGATATAACTATGCGAGGAATGAAAAAAACGATCGAGGTCATAATAGTTGGGGACTCATGGGCAAAAACGGTTTCGACCGGCCACTCGGGGCCAGGGAGGCACCGAGGTTATCGGAATGCAACTTCAGTGTCGATGCTGCCGGCATCGTATCTTCCATCGGACGCATTAAAGATACCAAGTGGCCTCGGCCATTGCATTCTGATCTTGCCCAAAGAGTCCCTAACCTGATGTGCAGGTATCATGGCAGTCATGGCCACAGGAACGAAGACTGCCGAGAACTGAGAGAAGAGGTAGCTCGATTATTCAATAACAGACACCTCGGGGAATTTCTGAGTGATCGAGCCAAAAATCACTTCAGGAATGGGGACTCCAACAAGCAGACCAAGTAAGAGGAACCTCAGCTCGTCATTAACATGATCATTGGCGGAGTCAACGTCCCACAGGGATCGATGCTAAAGCCCACTAAGGTGTCCATTACAAGGGAAAAAGGAACTCGAGATTACGTACCGTAGGGGACCATATCTTTCAGCGACGAGGATGCTGAAGGCATCATGCAACCACATAGTGATGCCTTGGTAATATCTGTACTCATAAATAAATCTCGAGTTAAGCGTGTGTTAATTGATCCAGGTAGCTTGGCCAATATCATCAGATCGAGGGCCGTGGAACAGCTGGGTCTAAAAGACCAAATAGTGCATGCAGTCCAGGTTTTAAACGGATTCAATATGGCATGCAAAACTACTGAAGGGGAGATAACCTTGCCGGTGAACACTGCCCGGACTATTCAGGAAACGACGTTCTATGTGATTTAAGAGGATATGAGATATAAAGATCTGTTCGGAAGGTCATAGATTCACAATATAAAGGCAATACCCTCGACACTACACTAGGCATTTAAGTTTCCCACACCAAGAAGGATCAAAATAATTTACGAAGAACAGCCAGCCGCAAAAGAAATGTTCGCGGTCGATGAGGTGATCCCGATGTACGCACTCCCGACATCAAAGAACCTAGAGTGGGTTAGGAAGGAAGAAACTAAATAGAAATCACCGACACTGGCCCCGACTAAACAAGAGGAGCAAATAGCAGGCAAGGATGATGATTACAGAGTTCCTAGGTCATTCATCGCCCCTGACGATTCCGATGCCACCAAGTCAACGGTCGAGGATCTGGAGAAAGTCATATTGATCGAACACTTGCCCGATCTGAAGTTATACCTGGGCATGGGGTCAACTCCTGAGCTGAGGAGAAAACTCAGTGAATTCCTTATATCTAACATAGATTGTTTCGCTTGGTCCCATCTTGATATGACATGGATCCTTCCAGAAATAACCACTCATAAGCTGAGCTTGGATCCGAAGTTCCACACGGTTAAACAGAAGAGAAGGCCTTAGTCCGAAGTCAAGCATGCATTCATCAAAGACGAGGTATCCAAACTCCTTGAAATATGTTCCATTCGGGAGGTTAGGTACCCGGATTTGTTAGCGAACATAATGGTAGTGCCTAAAAAGGGAAATAAATTAAGAATATGTGTAGCTTACAATGACTTGAACAAGGTGTGCCCTAAGGACTCTTTTCCTTTGCCTAACATGATCGAATAATCGGTGCAACAGACAGGCACGAGATACTCAGCTTTCTCGACGCCTATTTCGGGTACAACAAAATCCGGATAGACTTGGGAGATCAAGAAAAAACTTCTTTTATCACTAAATTGGGCACCTATTGTTATAATGTAATGCTTTTGGATCAAAAAACATTGGTGGCACCTATCAACGCATAGTAAACCGATGTTCGAAGAATAAATAGGAAAATCAATGGAAGTTTACACTGATGACATGCTAGTTAAGTCCCTGCGAGAGGACCATTTGAAACATTTGCGGGTTATCTTCAACTTACTAACAGATACAATATGAAGTTGAACCCGGAGAAATGCACATTCGGGGTCGGATCCGGGAAGATCCTTGATTCATGGTGTCTAACTGAGGGATCGAGATCAATCCCGACAAAATCAAAGCTATCATATCACCGCAGTGGACATTGTCAAGGCCGTTCGGAGGCTAACCGGATGCATAGGCGCCCTGGGACGATTCATATCAAGATCCTTCGATAAGAGCCATTGGTTCTTTTCGTTACTAAAGAAGAAGAATAACTTTTCATGGACCCCGGAGTGCCAACAAGCTTTGGAAGAACTCAAACGGTACCTCTCGAGTCCACCCCTGCCCATACTCCGAAGGCGGACGAGTAGCTGTGCCTGCATTTGGTGGTATCCGAGATAGCGGTAAGTGGAGTCTTGGTCCGGGAAGAGGAAGGTACGCAATTTCCTATCTATTATGTTAGTAGAACTCTGGGCGAGGCCAAAACAAGGTACCCTCACCTAGAATAATTGGCACTCACTTTACTAAGTGCCTCCAGGAAGTTAAAACCATTTGTTCAATGCCACCCAATATGCGTCATAACTTCTTACTCACTAAGGAATATAATGCAAAACCCAAGCTTTTAGGCCAGTTGGCCAAATGGGTCGTAGAGATTAGCGGGTACGATATCGAATATCGACCCCAAACCACCATCTTATCTCAAATTTTGGTAGACTTCGTGGCTGACTTCACGCCGGCTTAATACTCGAAGTCGAAAAGGAATTGTTGTTAACCTCGGGGACTTCATTAGGAATCTGGACACTCTTTACGGAGGGTGCCTCGAACGCAAAGGGGTCCGAACTCGACATCGTGTTAAACCAGCTACGGGTAACATAGTTAGGCAATCTATTAGAATTGTGAAATTGACTAACAATGAGGCCGAATATTAGGCCATGATTGCAAGTATTGAATTGGTCAAAAGCCTGGGGCCGAAGTGGTCGAAGCCAAGTGCGACTCCTTTCTTGTAGTAAATCAAATCAATAGGACATTTGAAGTAAAAGAGGAATGAATGCCAAGTTACTTAGAAAATTACATGTAACACTGCATCGATTCAAAGAATGGACCCTACAACACATACCCCGGGATCAAAATAGCGAAGGGGATGCTCTAGCTAACATGGGGTCATCGGTTAATGAAAACGAATTCAACTCATGAACGATCATTGATACACTCAAATTACACTTTAATTAAATAGTGTCAGCGGTCGGTGTCAATATAATAAACCAACAAGGTTGGGGTCGAATCCCACAGGGAATAGGTGTGAAAATGTTACTTGAGTATTGTGAAACTTGACTTAGGTCGTAATTCTATTCCTTTAGCTTAACAAGAGAATGATATAGTTGTGATTTAGTAAGATGACTAATTTTGTTATGAGAATGTGCATAATTTGATTAAGGAAACCAAGGTTGTGTCCCCGTCAATGAAATATAATTCTATCGGTGTTAATATGATATATTTCTAATAGAAGGTCCTTTGATATACAAATGGTTTCTAAATGACTACCCAATATTTCCCAATGGTTGGGTAGTATTTTCTCATTATAATTTTTCCAAATATAAAAGAGATGCAATTAAGAACAACCAATTTATGCCAAGCAGAACCCACTTATTTCTAAGCGATTCTATTAAACAAGATTTAAGGTCTTGAGTTCTCGATATTCATTTCTACCAAACCCTAACCCACTTTTCCAAGTAAAGAAAGAATAAGATGGAGTAAGTTAATGTTTGAAACCACCAACCATTAATAAAGCACAAGAAATGAATAAATATCAACCAACAATTATATATATATTCAATGTTAAATACCCATTAACATTACACCCATTTAGGGTCCACAACCTTAGTATTTAAAACTAGCTACTCATGCTAAAATACAAGAACAAAACAATAATAAAGTCATAAAACTTACAAAAGTGCAAGATTCTCTCTTCATAAGCTTCCAAATTAATGGAGTATTCAATGCTATCAATGTAGGCTCTTTTTCAGACTTAATGCCCCACAAAACCCCTAGTTATTCTATTTATAGTGGACTGAAATTCGGGGTCAAAATTGACAAAATTGCCCCTACAAACGACTTCTGCGACCGCATAATGGTCGCAGACCATGTATGCGGTCCGCATAATCTTCTTTTGCATCGCAGATCTGTAGATCACCAGTCCCAAGAGTCCACCGTAGATGAGTTATGTGGTCCTCATGATTGTTATGCGACCGCATTTTTCCATCGCAGAGGTGTTGAGAAGTTTCTTCAATTGAAATTGTGCGGCCATTATGTGGCTCGCAAAAGTGTTATGCGACCGCATAATTGACCGCATATTCCTCTCTTCATTTGGCCAAGACTCTTCTTCCGTTTGCGGTAATTATGTGATCCGCATTTGACTTCTACGGTCGCATATTTGCAGCATTTCATTCCTTTTGTGATTTTTTTGACTTTTTTTCCATATTTTTGGGTCTTCAAGTCTCATGCACTACAAAACAACCAACTTGATAATAATTAACTAAAAACGCATCAAAAGATGAGCTAAAATCTGAGTAATTGGTATCAAATGTGCCGAAATTCTACGGCACATCATACGGCTAACCTGGATCGACATGGATAAATATGCAAGGGACTTTGTATGAAATTGTGATGGCTGTCAGGGACATGCTCCGATGATCCATCAACCCAGAGAACTACTGTACTCGGTCTTGTCACCTTTACCGTTCATGAAATGGGGAATGAACATTGTTGATCCCCTGCCGTGGGCACCTGGTAAGGCTCAATTCATATTGTTTATGACTGACTTTTTTTATAAATGGATCGAAGCTCAAACGTGCGGGAAACTTTGAGAAAAAGAAGTCATCGATTTTTTTGGGACCACATAATATGCCGGTTCGGGATACCGGCCGAGATCGTATGTGATAATGGGAAGCAGTTCATCAGCTGCAAGGTAAGCAAGTATTTTGAAGATCACAAGATCAAAAAGATTCTATCCATACCCTACCACCCCAGTGAAAATGGTTAGGCATAATTTACAAATAAGGCCATACTTTAAAACCTGAAGAAAAGGTTGACCGATGCCAAAGGGAAATGGAAGGAAATTCTGCCCGAAGCCTTGTTGGCGTATCGTACAACCTCAAAATCTTGTACCGGGGCCACCTTATTTTTGTTGTTCTACGGTGTTGAAGCACTAATAGCGGTCGAGGTGGGGAAATCGAGCCTCAGGTTCTGATATGCGACCGGAGAATCAAACGGTGAAGCCATGAACATGAGCCTAGAACTATTGGACGAGAGGCATGAGGCCGCCCTGGTCAGGTTGGCCGCTCAGAAGCACCGAATAGAAAGATACTGCAACCGAACAGCCAACCTCTGACATTTCAATATCGAAGACCTAGTGTTAAGAAAAGTAACAATGCACACCAGGAACTCAAACGAAGGAAAGCTGGGACGGAATTGGGAATGACCATATTGAGTCATCGGGATTACCGGCAAAGGTTCAT